CAAACCTTTTATTTGTATTTATTTATTTATTTATTTTGAGATGGAGTTTCGCTCTTGTTGCCAAGGCTGGAGTGCAATGGCGGGATCTCAGCTCGCCGCAACCTCCGCCTCCCAGGTTCAAGTGATTCGCCTGTCTCAGCATTCCAAGTAGCTGGGATTACAGGTGCCTGCCACCATGCCTGGCTAATTTTTGTATTTTTAGTAGAGATGGGGTTTCACTATGTTGGCCAGGCTGGTCTCGAACTCCTGACCTCAGGTGATACACCCACCTCCACCTCCCAAAGTGCTGGGATTACAGGTGTGAGCTAGCGTGCCAGGCCGGGATAATACAAACCTTATAGACTGGAGGTCAGCAATCTGATCCCACCATATTTCAAATCTCACCTTGTACCACTCCCTCCAATGTGTCAATGTGTGCTGTGCTCTGCTTTGTGTAGTCTCTAGAACTGAGTAAATTCTCAGGTTTTTCACCAACTTGCCGATCTTTTGTTTGTCAAGTTCTTACTAACATAGTCTTGCTTCAGTATGCATGGGGATTGGTTTCAAGAGCCCTGTGGATACCAAACCCCACAGATGCTAGTTTCTGACATAAAATGACATAGTATTTCTTTATAACCTACATGCATCCTCCCACAGACTTTAATTCATCTCTAGATTATCATACCCAATATAATGTAAATGCTATATAATAGTTGTTTTACTGTATTTTTCATTTGTATTATTTTTTACTCTTGTAGCGTTATTTTTTCCTGTTTTTTCTGTATATTTTCAATCCCCAGCTGATTGAATACATGGGGCAGAAGCTGAGGATACAGGCCAATTGTGCTTCAAAATGCAACTCAGGCATTTCCACCCTAGTAAAACCTTCTGACAGTCTCCCCACCCCATCCCATATTTGCACTTACCATATGTTTTGTAACTATTTGCTTTCCCATTAGACTGCCAGTTATCCGAGGGCAGGGATTTTTATCCTATCTATCCTTGTATTTCAAGTGCATCAAATAGGTGGACAGTATATAGTGGGGTCTTAAAAAAGCATTTATTGAATTAAAGTTGAGTGATCCTGTAATAGTGACTATTTGGAGAGTTTGGATTACTATATACTATATACAATCATCCCTTGTTATCCTCAGACAGGTGTTTCCAGGATCCTTGTGGATACCAAAATCCATGGATATTCAAGTTTCTTACATTAAATGGCATAGTATTTGCATATAACCTGTGCACATCCTCCTATATACTTTAAATCATATCTAGGTTGCTTATAATACCCAATACAATGTAAATGCTATGTAAATAGTTTTTATGCTGTATTTTTTTTTGTTTTGTTTTTGAGATGGAGTCTTCCTCTGTCATCCAGTCTGGAGTGTAGTGGCACGATCTCAGCTCACTGCAATCTCCGCCTCCCAGGTTCAAGTGATTCTCTTGCCTCTGACTCCCCAGTAGCTGGGATTACAGGTGTGTGCCACCACACCTGGTTAATTTTTGTATTTTTAGTAGAGACAGGGTTTCACCATGTTGGCTAGGCTGGTCTCAAACTCCTGATCTCAAGTGATTTACCCACCTTGGCCTCCCACAGTACTGGGATTACAGGCATGAGCCACCATGCCCTGCTGTATTGCTTAGGAAATAATGATAATTTTTTTAAAAAGTCTACATGTTTGGTTCAGATGTAATCACTCATTTTTTCTTTTATTTTCCATCTGTGGTTGGTTGAATCCAGGGATATGGAACCCACAGATATAGAGGGCTATATTTTTCTTTTACTAGCTGCAGCACTTACTGTACTGACTGATGAGACAAATACATTCCTTTTGACCCATTCTCTAGTTTATATTTTACTTAATTCAGTTTACACATCTCAGAAAAGAAGTCTATTCCTTCTAAAGTGATTTGAAGCTTTCTTTTTAATCACTGACAATTTAAAAAAATTATTTCCTCATGAATATACATATATACATGTGTGATTTTTTTTTTTTTTTTGGTCAAATTGACCCTCAAGTTGATGGCTGCAGTTTTAGGTGTTGGTTCATGATTTTTTGACATATGTGCTGCTTGTTCACCAACCCTTGACTTTGTTTTAGTTACTTTTCAGATTTGACAGTGTTCACATGTATTCAATTCCTTTGCTAATTTGTGACAGAGATCAAAATGAACTAGTCTTAAATAATCTTGGTGTTTGTCCATGCTGGACCACATGGCTTCTCTCTGCTAGTTACCATAAGGGTGGTCATAACCACTCATCATTCTTTTTATACCTATCTTATTCCTTGCCTAATCAGGATTTAGAAGCAATATTTCAATAATTTACTAATGACTTTCCTCTGGGTCATTAGAAGAAAAATGGTCCCTGTAGAAACAATCTTCTAAATAAATGATAGTGTAGAAACATTTTCTAGAGGCTACAAAGTGACCTCTTGAAATACACTAAATTGGTTCTTATCTTTCGGGACATTCAGATCCTTCCTTTATTTCACTGTGGAATAGAAGAATAAATTGGGAAAAATGTGCTCTGCAATCCTCTGCCCTGCCTTAGAGTATGTAAATAGCATCATGCACAAAAAATTTTCAAGCTGTCAGGAGTAAAGTCAGTATGATAATTTGGGATAATTAAATGCTTAAGACAATCAAAATAGAACTGATCCTAGTAAGCTTTTCTCACTTGAAGGAAACTTCTCCAAAAAGTAGTTACTGATCTAAATGTCTTTCAATAAGGCTGTTAAATTAATTGTGGTACAACAATCTACAGTTTGAAATATTTCAGTCTTTAAAAAAGGAGAAGCATACCTATGTGTATGCACACAGAAAGATAGATGGTTGCTTTTAAAAAAGAAAAAATGTGAATAATTCATATACTATGATCCCATTCACATAAAAAATAGCAGAAACAGAATTGAAATATTTACAAAGAGAGAGGGCATTGACTGGAAAGATACACACACCAAACCATACTCAATTCTGCATTGAGAGCTTTTGTTTCTGTGTCTATTTCTTTCTTCTACCAGATTATCAACTGCTGTATTGCCAGATCAAATACAGGATACTCAATTAAAGTTGAATTTCAACTGTAAGCAACAAAATTTTGGGTGTGGTTTCCAAATATTACATGGGACATACTTAAAAAGTATTCATTGTTTATCTGAAATTAAAGTTTAACTGAGTGCCCTGTATTTTTATTTGTTAAATCTGGCAATTCTACCTTAAAGAGAATTTAAATTTTTATCCTTGTATTCCTATTACTAACACAGTTACAGAGATATAGTGGATTACAATAAATAACATGAGGGGGGTAATGTGGAAAGAACAATCAAAACAGGTGATTTTGCTAAGTACATTACATATTTATCTCAATTTTCATGGAAATGTCTTCAAATGTCATTAGTGGTCCTATTATAGAAGACACACAGCAGGCAAGTGTCAGAGCTAGAAATGACCCTAAGTTTCTGGGTCCCTATTCAGCAGCCATAAGCAATTGCCAGCTGCATGAAGGTGGAGGCAGAAGTAAAAAGGGAACAAGAGGTGAGGTGTACGTTCTGCCTAAGTGGAACAGAGTAGAACTTTGCACAGACTCCTTAATCTTGCCTAGAGGCAGAATGTGGGATGTACTATATGGGAGGCAGGCAAATCTGGGCCTGGTTCCCACCTCCATCACTCATTTGAACAAGTTATGTAATTTATTTTTGCGTCAATTTTCTTGTCTGTAAAACTGGAGTGAGAGGACCTAACTTGAGTACTGATGTGAAGAGTCAATGAGATAATATCTGTGAAGTGATCAGCACAGGGCTTGGCAAGTGGAAGACACTCAGTCAAGCTAACTTAAAGCCCCAGGTTTTTCATTTGTACAACAGAACAACAATAATAGCAACAAGCAATAATACTAACAATATTTATCTTGCCTCTGAGTTGTCTTGAGGATCAGATGAAAATACATATATTATGTTTCTAAATTCTAAAGTGTATCTCACTCTCCTAACAAAGCAGTTGGTCTTCAGATCAGGACCAGAGTTAATATCACGCCAGAGCATTATTACAGGTTTTTTTCAATGAGTAATTAATTTTATTTTTAAACTTATCATACAGTAAAATTGACTCTTTTGGTTTACAAAGTTCTGTGAGTTTTAACACGTTGTATAGGTTTATGTAACCACCACCACAATCCGGATACAGAACATGACTACAGCTTTAGAGATTATTTTTCAAAGTGTTTTACATTCATGTTGCAAAACACTTTTAAAAATAAGAAAAGAGATGTAGATAAACGTGCTGAAGATGCAAATTAATGAAACCAGCTTTTGTGCACAAATCTCTGCAGTTTCCAGTGTTTTCAGCTTTTGTCTGAGCCATTTTTGCTGTCGGCTTTGCAGACTCTTTCTATAAAAGTAATCAGGCATCCATTCGAGAATTGGGATCTTTCTTGACACTAAAGGCACATGTCCCAGGCACAAGCCTCAGCATCCTTATTTGATCTTTTTTATACGACCAGGTCTTAAATTTCCGAACCATGTTTTCCCTAATTGCCATTTTCTCTCTAAAATGAAGAAGCCTGGAATAACCAGCACCTTCTTATCCCTTCGGGGAAATTATTTAATTGGGACAAAGGGATATGGAGTCAGAACAACGATAGGGCTTTCAGAACCCAAAACCTGTCTGGTATAATAACAGAGCCTTACTGTAACCAATCATTCAATCTGTCCCTCTCCCCAACCCCATCCTCTCCATCACCACCTGCCAGATGCCCCCCTGGGACAATCGACTTTGAAACCAAACTTCCCTCTCAGGTCAGCTCCTGCAACCCCTACTCCCCACCCTTGCAGCTCTCCCCGCAGAAGTGACTTGACACACCGCGCTACATCTGGGGAGAGGGGCGGGTCCGCTTTCCGGGTGACTCAAGTCTTTGCTATTTGCCTTTTGTTTCTGGGATGCCTTTGGCTGCCTTTCTCTTCCATCTGCTTTTAATTTTGGTAAGAGAAAAGCTAATGAATCAGGAATGAATCTCCTCTCCACTAATCTTTCTCTCTCTCTCTCTCTCTTAAAGTTGGCGCGCTCTCTTCACAAGTTCCATCACTACCCAAGAAGCGAGGGGGCGGGGTGGGGGGAACAGGCGGGAAGGCATTAATTACACCTAAATCTGAAGTTTACGGCCTCAGGTACCACTTTGATGGGGAGAGTTTCTGAAGCTTTCATACAACCTGCAGTGCCTTTGCTGCTGCCGCTGTAGATTTTCAGCTTATTTCTTTCTGGTGCTGCTTCGCGCTGCTCTGTCATGCCTAAATCTATCTCGTCACTGCCAAAGGTGCCTGAATCAGGGTGAATTCCACAAGATTCACCAGCGGTTTTGCTCCTGTCCAAGGTAAATACAGTATGCAAAATAAGGAACCACCCAAGGATGTCGGGGAGGGGGGAGAGAAAGGGATTCCCTCACCTTTTTGGGCACATTCCTCGTTAATTTCCACCAGGAGGAAGCGCGCAGCCCAGCTCCCCTAGTCTCTCTTCTTAAATCCCCCTACCTACGACTGCCGAGGTTGGCCGCACGGCGGGAGTCTACCCGTCAGTCCTGGCCCTCCCCCGCCCCCCGGGTTGGTTTTTCCCAGCTGCGGAGGTTGGGAGGTTGGGCCAGGGGCTGGGGTGCGAAGAGAGTCGGCGCCCGCAGCGCGCAGCCGAGAAGTCGTCGCTACTCTGGTGGAACTGAGTTGGTTCTGGAGGCGGCGGGCGCGGAGGTGAGCAATGGGAGCCCGCGGCCTGGGAGAGACCCGGCAGGCGTCGTTGGGGCCCCTCCCCATACTCGGGTGGAGAGTAGCGTTGGTTCGGGTTGCCACTCGACCCAGAGTCCCACTGCTGCTTTGTTCCCAGACTCTCCCCACCTCTTTGGAGACGACTTGAACCCCTTTGGGATCCCAGGGGCTGGCGGGGCGCGGGCTGGGGGGCGACAGTTGTAGCTCCACTTTCTGCTAATGCCGGAAGGTACAAGAAGAGATCAAAAAGTCCTGTAACCTGAAACTTCCCTCGCATCCTAACCAGGACCGGGAAGAGAGGTCCGGGCGGGGGCGGAGACACCCGGAGGCCGACCTTCCGCGGAGGCGGTGCGGGAAGGAACCTGGAAAAGGAGAAGTTTGGTAGGGAAGGAATTGGGGATTAAGCAAGAAGTTAGGCGCGGGGAGACGAGTCTCCTCGGGAAGGGCGGAGGGCGGGAGGCCGGTTGGGTTTATTTAGTGTGGGGCAGGGGAGAGGGAAGACTTTGCGCTCTGGGTGTCGGATGTGCGTCCCTCTCCCGAGTAAGAGTGACTGGAGGGGTTGTGGAGGCGAGGCCGGGGCGGGCTTTCGGAGGGAGAGACTGGTGTCTCTCTGGGACAGAGTGGTGACGACTAGACTCGAAAAGGCCGGTTTTTGCACTCCGGAAGCCGCGACAGCCACCGCTGCTCACGCCTCTCTCCTGCTTGTCCCAGGTCCCTCAGAGGAGCCAGCGAGGGGCGCCAACAAGAGGCGAGGAGGTGCCACCGGGGCGGCGGCAGGAAGAGGAGCGGGAGCAGGATCGCTGAGCCGAGCGTACCAACCCGCCGTGCGTACTTTCTGGAGGGAAGGGGCGGGGGAATCGGCCCCGGAGGGAAGCGCCCGGTGGCGAGGGGGTTAGCCAAGTTCCGGCTGCGGCGCCACTCCCTGGCTTCCACGAGAGGAAAGTTTTTTCCAGACGCTTCCGCCGGCTCGCACCCTCCGGGCCCAGCCCCCCGAGGCTTCGGAGCGGGCGCCGTCCCAGCCCAGCTCCGGGGATACGCTAGCCGCGATGCCTGGGGGGTGCTCCCGGGGCCCCGCCGCCGGGGACGGGCGGCTGCGGCTGGCGCGACTGGCGCTGGTTCTCCTGGGCTGGGTCTCCTCGTCTTCTCCCACCTCCTCGGCATCCTCCTTCTCCTCCTCGGCGCCGTTCCTGGCTTCCGCCGCGTCCGCCCAGCCCCCGCTGCCCGACCAGTGTCCCGCGCTTTGCGAGTGCTCCGAGGCGGCGCGCACAGTCAAGTGCGTTAACCGCAATCTGACCGAGGTGCCCACGGACCTGCCCCTCTACGTGCGCAACCTCTTCCTTACCGGCAACCAGCTGGCCGTGCTCCCTGCCGGCGCCTTCGCCCGCCGGCCGCCGCTGGCGGAGCTGGCTGCGCTCAACCTCAGCGGCAGCCGCCTGGACGAGGTGCGCGCGGGCGCCTTCGAGCATCTGCCCAGCCTGCGCCAGCTCGACCTCAGCCACAACCCACTGGCCTACCTCAGCCCCTTCGCTTTCTCGGGCAGCAATGCCAGCATCTCGGCCCCCAGTCCCCTTGTGGAACTGATCCTGAACCACATCGTGCCCCCTGATGATAAGCGGCAGAACCGGAGCTTCGAGGGCATGGTGGCGGCGGCCCTGGTGGCGGGCCGTGCACTGCAGGGGCTCCACCTCCTGGAGCTGGCCAGCAACCACTTCCTTTACCTGCCGCGGGATGTGCTGGCCCAACTGCCCAGCCTCAGGTACCTGGACTTAAGTAACAATTCGCTGGTGAGCCTGACCTACGTGTCCTTCCGCAACCTGACACATCTAGAAAGCCTCCACCTGGAGGACAATGCCCTCAAGGTCCTTCACAATGGCACCCTGGCTGAGTTGCAAGGTCTGCCCCACGTTAGGGTCTTCCTGGACAACAATCCCTGGGTTTGCGACTGCCACATGGCAGACATGGTGACCTGGCTCAAGCAAACAGAGGTGGTGCAGGGCAAAGACCGGCTCACCTGTGCTTTTCCGGAAAAAATGAGGAATCGGGTCCTCTTGGAACTCAACAGTGCCGACCTGGACTGTGACCCGATTCTTCCCCCATCCCTGCAAACCTCTTATGTTTTCCTGGGTATTGTTTTAGCCCTGATAGGCGCTATTTTCCTCCTGGTTTTGTATTTGAACCGCAAGGGGATAAAAAAGTGGATGCATAACATCAGAGATGCCTGCAGGGATCACATGGAAGGGTATCATTACAGATATGAAATCAATGCGGACCCCAGGTTAACAAACCTCAGTTCTAACTCGGATGTCTGAGAAATATTAGAGGACAGACCAAGGACAACTCTGCATGAGGTGTAGACTTAAGCTTTATCCCTACTAGGCTTGCTCCACCTTTATCCTCCGCTATAGACACCACTGACTTTGACTAAAAGCAGTGAAAGGGTTTTGCTTCCTTGTTATGTAAAGTTTCTCGGTGTGTTCTGTTAATGTAAGACGATGAGCAACTGTGTATAGTGTTTTACCCTCTTCTTTTTCTTGGAACTCCTCAACACATGTGGAGGGATTTTTCAGGTTTCAGCATGAACATGGACTTCTTGCTGTCTGTCTCTCTCTCAGTACAGTTCAAGGTGTAGCAAGTGTACCCACACAGATAACATTCAACAAAAGCTGCCTCAACTTTTTCGAGAAAAATACTTTATTCATAAATATCAGTTTTATTCTCATGTACCTAAGTTGTGGAGAAAATAATTGCATCCCATAAACTGCCTGCAGACGTTAGCAAGCTCTTCAAAATAACTCCATAGTACACAGGAGCACCTGCATCCAAGAGCATGCTTACATTTTACTGTTCTGCATATTACAAAAAATAACTTGCAACTTCATAACTTCTTTGACAAAGTAAATTACTTTTTTGATTGCAGTTTCTATGAAAATGTACTGATTTTTTTTTTAAATAAACTGCATCGAGATCCAACAGACTGAATTGTTAAAAAAATAAAATAAAAGATTCTTAAAAGAATTACGGTGTGTGCAAGTTTGCTTTGAAAAAAGGATTAAGGGCAGGGTATTCAATGGCCTTGGTTCCGATGATAGTTATTACTTAACATAGCTGAGAATCAAACTGTAGCAATGTCTAATATAAATAGATTTGGGAGATCGCCTTGAGATGGTGGATCCTTTTAGTATTTAAATGGAGAGTTTGAGTATTCATGTGACTATATGGTCCCAAAGTTAATGCTATTTATGAAACAGTTTTGTAAGAGCATAATGAATTGATTAAAGCTAAGCGTTCTGTACAATAAACAGTTCCCAGTTTGGGGCTTTTTCAAGGCTAATGAAGTTATTGTTGGTCTAGAAAAATAGTGTTTACTTAATAAAACTCTGAAATTGTTCTGTGGATTTTTAGAGCAGAATTTGAAACAAATATGCAAATAAATATGAAGATAAAATGTCTTAAAGATAGACTATTCTGAAATAAAAGATATAAAATATAAATTTAAAAAATATTTCTCAATGTCATAATGTAAATTGAAACTGAGATTTTCTTGAGGATATTTTTTAAAAAACATTTAAAGTGGAACATAAATGGTCTTTAGTTTATCAGAGACCCAGCTAATATGTTTAAAAAGTTGACATGATTGAATATGAACTTGAGGAAATAACCACAGATAAATGCCTACATCTGTCAACAAATGTCTCAAGTATTTATAGGTTCTTAAGTTCAGTGTTTTAAGAATTTGAGGATATTTTGATTTTAGCTAAGCTCTTCATGATGTAAGTATATACACCTTCGTGAAGAATAAATCACAGGTGTAAATACAGGCAATCATTAATTGATACCATCCATAATATACAAGGCTTTTGTTTTTTGTCAGTTTATTATCTGCCATTTAAGCTGAAAAGTAAATTCCATTAATCAATCTTCAAGCTCTTTTATCGAGTGATTTAAATGTAGCCATTATTGCTTAACTGAAAGTATTAGGTAAACTTGCATCAGTAAGTCTTAGGGCCTGCTTTTCCTTTGAACTGGTTATGTCCTTCAATGCTTTATGTTTGAAATAAAATCTGCATTTTCTTATTTTTATAAATAAAATAGGATCAGATAGTATTTTAGGTTCTAGAAATCTGCTGATTCCTTCTTTGAATTAAATTCAGAAATTTTCAAAGTAGGGCTAAAAATAAGTAAATCTCTTCCTTTTTATAAGTTAGATTATATAGTCAGAATATGAAGCTGTAATTCCTTAAATTCCATCAGGCTTGTTTTATGAAATACAGTATTTATTATTTAAGGGTTATATTTCAGATCCTATAATTACCTCAGAAAAAGCTAAATATTTGGCACTTAAAATTCCATCAAACAGTTTAAGTGTTCATCAGAAATTCCTACTGTCTGGTTGCCATTATTTAACAAGAACAATGCGATACTAATCTGTCAAAAATAGTGACCACTATCTTAGCAAACTGTTGATGGACTTCAGTTGGTAAGTCTTCTGATATTGTAGAAACAAATTATAATATTGATAGAGCCTCTGTTGAGAAGAATTGTTTCTTCATCACATGATAATCTAACAGTTTAAAGTGGAGCTTTATTTAAGAACCAGGAAAGGAGTAGATTCGTTAGTGTAGCTTTTCTCATCAACTCCTTGAAGCAATGATGAATCTGATAAAGTGAAGCCAAGTTATCCCTGTTAGGTAGATGACTTCTTTGAAGTTATAATTTATTGCTTCTTTTTCATGCCCCTACTTATTCTTTTGCATGGACTTTCCAATTACCACTGCTTTGTTTTCCATCACATCACTCCTTCCTGTTCTCCAAAATATGGAAATAAAAAAGTCAATAAAAAGAAAGAACACCTTATTCTTAAGATAAAAATTGTTATTATTTGACAACATTGATATTTTGCAGGCCTTATACTTTTAAGTCTATAAGTCTACAGAACATTCTAAATTCCTTGGAAGATAGAGGCTATATAAATTCAATAAGTATAAGGGAATATGGGAAAAATAAAAGTATCACTTTATTTAAAAATAAGACAAGTCTTTGTTTTAAATACTGTTCTTATTATTAATGCAGTATTGACTCTAGAAACCTTCAAATATCCATTTTTAATAGTTGGTAATACTCTTCATTACTGAACGTAAAATTTTCAACATAAAACACCATTTATCCTTTACAAGTTTCATTTGAAGAAAGTTAGAAAAAATACTTAGAAATTCAAGGACTTGATAAATCCCTTAATTTAAAAAGCTATTCAACTATCCCATAAATTTTTATTTTAAGTAGGAAACATTTTGGGATAATACAGTTATTTGGCCCTGAATTATAACTGCCCCCTTTGATAGTATCCATTCTGTTTGCAGCATTCGTTTTTGTAATAGCAGTTTGGCTGCTATGGGTGTGATTCAATGGTAACCTATAAGGCAAATTTGTACAGGAGCTGATAGATTTTTCTAACAAAATAAGGAGACTTTGAAGCACATTGAATAGGATTTTTTAAATGAATAGGAGTTTTTAAGGAAAAAGAGTAGGAGCTGGGGGGGAAGGCTGTTTGAAATAAATGAGCAAATCACAAATAATAAATCCTTTAGAAATATCTTTATTGGCAGTAAGTGTGGATTATGCTCATCTCAGTATTTAATTAGAAATAACATATCTGTGTCTTCTGTCTTTTTAATTAAAGTGGCTGTAGAAAAGAAGGTTCAGATGAACTGAGATTGTTTCCTTAGAAATTGTTTGACTCTTTTCCTTTGACCTAAAACAGGGCTTACCTTGTTGAGGACCTTAGAGGCTTTGCACCTCTAGATTGTGACTCTTTCATATCATTTTAGTTTTTCTCCCAAGACTACACTAAAGGAGACATCATGAGATTTGCAAGGTTAAAAACAATTTTGCACGTGCTTCCCTCCTGCTCCGAAATCCAGTCATCCAGCTTTCAGAGCAGCACTGTAAAGTGAAGACAGACATTTATTAGATGAAATTCTGGTTTCACTTTTACACTTGTGCAAGGATTTTTAACAGTAAAGGAGAGGAAAGGGAGAAAGTTATATTTCTAGATAATATATGAAAATTACCTTGATACTGTATTTTTAAGATCTTTCACCAATACTTGCAGTGCTGCACTAGAAACAATTAGTTTAAGAAAATACTTTCCACATTGTCCAGGTGATCCTGTCACCTTTTAGATGAGGAAAAACATCTTCTTGAGGATGTTTTGTACAGTTATTTTCCCATTGTTACTCTTAGAGACTTTTGTTTCAAAAAGGCAGGCTCATTTTATTTTGTTTTATCTTAGAACATTTTAGCAGCTCTTTGTCATGGGTTAAAAAAATCTAGAATTAAAAAAATGTGTAATATATGATTTGTATCATTTTTGACAAGAATACAAATTCTTAGTAGTTCAAAATTGGAAGGGCTCTTAGAAGTGTCAAGCTCAGCTTTCCATTCTACAAATGAAGTAACTGACAATTGTGACTTACTACGTTATACAGTGACAACCAGGACACAATCCTAGGGTTCTAGATTCCCCTTCTGGTGCTGTTTTTACCGGATGATGGCATTACTAATTGCCTACCTTGAGGCCTTTGAAATCCCCATGTCTATAATAAAGAAAGGAAATTGCTTTGGTGAATTTATTTGTTTTATTGTTTTTGCTTTGAGTGAATGCTTCAGTTTGCTCTAGATTTTACTTTCAGTTTGTTAAAAATTACCATGTTTAAACCCCCCGAAAACATTTAATGTTGTCAAAATGATTTTTTCATAACAATCTTATGAGTCTATGATATAATAGGAAATATTTTGGAAATTTAATGGTGATATTTCTTTGGAAAAGAAAAATAAAAACTCTGGAATGCTGTGCTGGTTTGTGTAATTCAACCTTAAATGTGAGTTAGCTCAGCTGGTGAGAAAACTAAACAAATGAGACCAAGTTCATGACCATGAAGTCAGTCAGCAGGTGAGACAGTCAGCTTTGCATTCTCTGCACTGTTCTCCTAGCTCACACCCACTCCAGGTGCATGCTGCTATCCTCCAAGGGCCTGGACCAAACAGGGAAGTTAAATCAATGCAAATTCATTATCACCCTGGAAGACCAGGGGACTGACCAGCCAAACACTGCCACCTCCACTGCTGAAGTGCCAGTTTACTGTCTTTACATATGCAGGACACACACTACATCTCAATTTTCTCACATCGTGGTATTTATGCTGCAGATTGCAAAAGGCTTATAATTTATGTAAATTTGGGGAATCTAGCATGAGTACCTTTCAAGGTATTGCATGGGAAATTAATTAGGTTTGCTTTATTATTTTAAAAAAGTGTGGGTTAAGATTAAGCATCATGATTACTATATCATACACTTACACATAAAGGTTTATAGAAACAGAAATACAGTTTATATTTAGCTGACATTTTATGATGATAGGACTTACTTATGGTCCACAATTTAACTTGGTTAATGTAAGGAACCATTTGGTCTAAGGAAGCAGAAGCTTAAGATATGACCCTCTGTAATACTTTATGTGAAAAGTAAATATTAAAAATACATTTTAAAGGACCGAGGATGTTATCGAGATAGGCTCTAAAAATAACAAAAACAAAACGGAAGTTTATAGATTTATTTTACCCCTTCCCCTTACAGTCCTTTTTTTTTTCTTTTTTGACAGAGTCTTGCTCTGTTGCCCAGGCTGGAGCGTAGTGGCATGATCTCAGCTCACTACAACCTCTGCCTCCTGGGTTCAACTAATTATCCTGCCTCAGCCTCCTGAGTACTTGGGATTACAGGCGCGTACCACCACACCAGCTAATTTTTGTATTTTTAGTAGAGATGGGATTTCACCATGTTGGCCAGGCTGGTCTTGAACTCCTGACCTCAAGTGATTCGCCCCCCTTGGCCTCCCAAAGTGCTGGGATTACAGGTGTGAGCCACCATGCCCAGCAGTCAGTTCTGTTCCTATTACTTTTTACTTTCTTCCTCCAAAGAGAGCCATGACCCACATTTCAAGGTGACCTTACCCAGGGGAACTCGACTGACTGGAACATTAGGTGGGTCAGTTTACAAATACATGTAACTCTGTGACAGTTTTAATTTTACAATACAGCATTACATTGTATTCAAGGAAGACTTTAATTTTCAATTGAACACATTCTGTGGTGATTCTTATAGACCATTTCAACACTGGCTATAAAATACTTTAAAAAATTTTTAAATTAACTCATGTTTTGTAGAATATTTTGAAGTACAGGAAGGGATAAGTACCATGAGTAACACTATGACTAAGGAAAACGGAAGCGCTAATGTTGGGATAAAAGGCCTTCTCTTTATTTCACATGTATCCTGCCTTTTCGTTACACTTTTTTGAGCATTCTTCACTACCATGAAAAACTATTTTAACATCTGGTTCTGGTGTACTGTCGACAATCATACGTTTTATACATACAGGCTATTGCTTGCAGTTTTAACTTTGTTCTAATAAGCATTGTTGAACCCCCCTGTGTTTCTGCCTTTTGCATTTTTCCCTTAAGGTAGATCCTTGAGGGAGAATTACTGCGTCAGATGGTATAATCTCTTTTTTTCTAACTTCAAAACATATTTTTGATGCCTATTTAAATTAGGATGATGAAATATAGATCATAGCTCACTGTATGTTTTAAGAGTTTGACATCAAACTTTACATAGTAATGAAATGTCTGTGGACAGGATTTTGAACAGAAGTAAATATGGACCAAGCTGTCAACTAACCTGCCACTGTTTTAAATCCGTGAATTTCTATTCTTTGTTAAAATAACAATTTAGAAGATAGCTAAGCCCATAGCCCAGTTATGAGTAAGTGAGTATGTGTGTGTGTGTGTGTGTGTGTGTGTGTGTGTGTGTGTAAGAGAGAGAGAGTCAGGGTGGGGTGTGTGTGTGTGTGTGTGTGTAAGAGAGAGAGAGTCAGGGTGGGGTGTGTGTGTGTGTGTGAGAGAGAGAGAGTCAGGGTGGGGTGTGGTGTGTGTGTGTGTGTGGTGGTGTGTAAGAGAGAGAGAGAGAGTCAGGGTGGGGTGTGTGTGTGTGTGTGTGTGTGTGTGTGTGTGTGAGAGAGGAGAGGAGTCAGGGTGGGGTGTGTGTGTGTGTGTGTGTGTAAGAGAGAGAGAGAGAGTCAGGGTGGGGTGTGTGTGTGTGTGTGTGTGTGTGTGTGTAAGAGAGAGAGAGTCGGGTGGGGTGTGTGTGGGTGGTGGTGTGTGTGTGTGAGAGAGAGAGAGAGTCAGGGTGGGGTGTGTGTGTGTGTGTGTGTGTGTGTGTGTGTGAGAGAGAGAGAGAGTCAGGGTGGGGTGTGTGTGTGTGTGTGTGTGTGTAAGAGAGAGAGAGAGAGTCAGGGTGGGGTGTGTGTGTGTGTGTGTGTGTGTGTGTGTAAGAGAGAGAGAGTCAGGGTGGGGTGTGTGTGTGTGTGTGTGTGTGTGTGTGTGTGTGAGAGAGAGAGAGAGTCAGGGTGGGGTGTGTGTGTGTGTGTGTGTGTGTGTGTAAGAGAGAGAGAGAGAGTCAGGGTGGGGTGTGTGTGTGTGTGTGTGTGTGTGTAAGAGAGAGAGTCAGGGTGGGGTGTGTGTGTGTGTGTGTGTGTGTGTAAGAGAGAGAGTCAGGGTGGGGTGTGTGTGTGTGTGTGTAAGAGAGAGAGAGAGAGTCAGGGTGGGGAAAGACAATGTGGGGTATGGATGAACATCTGGGAAATAAATTTAGCTAGTTACGAGTTAGGAAGCAGTTATTAAGACAAACCTGTTTTTTTGCCTGAATTCTACTCTTTTATTTATTTTTTTTAGATGCCTTGTATGGGTATACTTAGAATTAAGTGAGATTTCATAGAAGTGAATTAATTGTGCTAATCTTCCTGTTAATTTGCTTTAAAATTTTAGTAAGTTCCCATGAATCATTTTTTCAGATCTTGCATTGGATTTTTAAAAATGAGTTTCTGAGATAAACTTGCTTCTAATTTAGTTGTGAGGACAAGTAATGATAATAACTAACATTTCATGGAGTGCAGCTTTTCACATATAAGATTTATTCTCATTTGAAGAGGAAATTGAGGCTTAGAGAGGATAGGTGTCTTGCCCAAGAACAACTTGGTAGTAAGAATCAGATATGGGATTTGAACTATTGTTTTTTTCTGGGGAGGGTGTTGGGGGAGCCTTCAGGATCCAAGCTCTTAACTCCTGCTCTAGAGGAGATGTGAATGATGATAATGTCTATGCTTTTTCTAGCATAGAACATGATAAACACCACCAGAGATTCAAACAAGGTGATAGGAGGTTCAAAGTAAGGAGAGATCTTGTCTGGTCAGTATAATCCAAAAAGAGTTCATGGAAGAGTTAGCTTTTAAGATGATTTTGAAGAAGAGGCAAAGAGAGATGATGGGTAGAAGAGAAAACTCAGGTCAGAGAGAATAGCATAAGCAAAGAGAATGGAGGCACTTGAAGACCAAGTGTTCTCTGGGAACAGTAACATTTGGAGTGTAATATTTACAAAGGAGAATAGTGGAGCATAAGACTAGAAAGATAAATCTGCGGCTATGATAAATAGTTTCTATACAATTTAGTGGACAGTGGGGGAGCTCTTGGAAGTCTACGAGCAAAGGAGTTATATGCATAGCTGTGGCTGTACCCAATAAAGATGAGATCAACCTCCTTCCTAAGTTGGTTTGGATATCAAGACTGATGAGACCACACGTACACCAAGAGAGTATGCACAGGTTTATTACTTGCATAATGTGACTTTCTGGGGAGAGCAGGACTTGGTTTTGTTTTTCATTGTGATCTGGGTTGGGGCCACGGTGAGGCTTCAGGTTTGTCTAGTCTTCGCATCCCAGCAGATGCCAAGGGATGAAGTTCATGGGCCCTATTATAGGCTTGCTCAGATATGGGACAAAAAGTGGGAGGAGGAGGAATGGACCTTAAAAGCTATGAGTACTCAGACATCACAAATGGAGTCAGACTCTTAAAATTCACCACTGATGTTTGATGACTGAAATGTGCCGGGGCTGATTTAATTGATTTTGAACTTGTTTAAATAAACCATTATTATACTCTATGAGACTTGCAGCATGAGGTCAGTAAGAAAGGTGAGAGTTCCATTGAATGTCTTCTTCAAAAGTCCATGGTGTGTATTTTAAGAAGTGAAATGCAGGCCTTGGCCATCATCAATAATTTCTGAAACTCTGAAGGGGATAAGAAGTGTTTTGGTGAGGCCTTTTAGTTTAGCTTTAGTGTGGGCTTATGTGTGACATTTGTTCATATTTTGGCTATCTGTGAGGCAAGAAATTCCTAGAGATTTTTTTTTTTTTTTTTTAGCCCAAAGTAGGGTGACCTTGGATAAGGAATTGCTGTTATTGGTACAGATCAGACTAACTGACTAGATAATTAGTAATGCCCCAATAATATATACAAATATACATACTGGACCAATTGTTGGTTAAGCATCCTATAGTGCTAAGATGAATGTGTAAAGTTTGGTCGTTTGTGCTGGCTTTTGAGTCCCATCCTTGATCAGGGATGTCCTGGTTAGGCAATGAATAGCAGCAGCTCACTAGAGGGCATCATCACATTTTATGGTGACCTTGCATATGAAATGCCTTTTCTGATTACTCAGTTGATCCAAAGAGACTCTCCAGTTGGCCAGTGGGCCTGGAATAAGGGTGGTCTACAGCACCATTGCCTCTGGCAAGGGGCTGAGGACAGGAGAAACCACTTCCTCCTATAGGTTGGATATGCCAGGAGGCCTAGGTTTGCTTCTGGTCTATAAGTACTATTTCCCTTTTTGTCTAGAGGCCTCTGTAACTAACTGTGCTGAGTCTGCAGAGTGCTGTGTCAATGATCCAAGGCATAAGAGGC